TACATATATATATATATATACCGTATGCACAATGTTACATATTTGAACATAAACTTTCTCTCACAGGTGTAAGCTGTCCTTGCTGTTACCTTGAAGACTGTTGAGGAGGGAGAACAGGTACAGCAAAGGTGTTTTGGCTGGGCCCCAGGCGACAAAAGTTAGTATCCAGGTAAGTCCCAGCAGGAAGGTGAGACTGGCCACCACTCTCAGGTCATGCAGGAACCCTTTTCTGCTGCTGGAAGGCTTATTGACCCGCATTTTACGGATCTGTACCAGCACCACGACAAACACGCTGATGTTACAGATCATGACCAGGGTCACGAAGGAAACCACCGTCACATAAAAGGTCACGTCATTCTTTAACCAGCAACTGAAGAGAATGAAGAGAAATAGTATAACCATAAAGGCCCATTCATTCCAAAAAGATAATTAATGACAACCATATGATAAATAAATTGGCGTCCACACCAACAGACTATAACTTTCTGTTTATTCTAATCGTGGCCTTCAGATATGATCTGCGTGCGCGCAAAAAAGTTTTATTGCTCATCAGCTGGACAGAATTTGCTGTGAGTCATTTCAACGACATCATTCCTCCAATGCCTTCAAAAATATTTTAGGTTTGGCAAATTTGTACATCTCATTCATACGCTTTTGTATGACATTACAAGTGTGGAAAATGTTGAAATTCCTAATCATTACGATGACCGAGAGAGCTCAATGATCTGTAACTTCAGAAAACACATGCAAATAGAAGAAGCACCAGCAAATTACGAAAACACCTTCATCAGTTTGACAGCACATGTGCTGCAAATGCTCACAACACACAAAAAAATCTATAAAAAATAAAGAAACACGTTGCAAATACTTGACCAAACAGACAAATGCGCAAGTAGCACGACCACAACAAAATTACTCCAACAAAACGAAAATTAACCTTTTTTTTTTCCAAATCTATAGTTAGTGTAGTAAATCCATGGTAAATATGTGCATGGTTTAACTATAGTAACCAGTTTTTGTTTTTATTTATTTTTTACATATTAAATGAGACCTTGAACCTTTGACTGAATGGTTCTTTGTGGAACCAAAAATTGTTCTTCTATGGCATCGCTGTGAAGATACTTTTAAAGAACCTTTATTTTTAAAAGTGTAATTGTGTATTTCATCAGCTTATTTAGGCTAATAATACCCACACAAAAAAAACAAAAAACTAAGGAATCATATGATCAGGATGTTCAAATAAACAATAATCTTATCTTTCAGAGCAAACATTGATAAATATGTCCCTTGTTCGTTATTTTGCGGTTCCCAAACTTTTCCAATGGGGTCTGTGCCTATTTGCAGCGCGTTACTTTATTTGGTTGTGTTGTGAGCATTTGCAGTGCATGTTGTCAAATTGATGAAGATGTTTTCTTAATTTGCAGTTTGTTTGTTTTTTTTTGTTTTTTGCAGGGCGTTGAGCTCTCTCGGCCACCGTAAATCGTACATTTTTTATCACATGAATGTGTAAGCAACTTCATGAAATACAGAATCGCAACTAAGTAAAAATAAGTTTTCTTATGAGATTGGGTTGCTTGCTCTATGGTCATAGTTATATTTGTTGGTGTGCACCAACATATGCATTTACAAATGTGTATTTTAAATTCTTTTGCTTATGGCACCTACAATGCAGTGGATTCTTGGAGAAGAAAAAAAACAAAAAACTAAGGAATCATATGATCAGGATGTTCAAATAAACAATAATCTTATCTTTCAGAGCAAACATTGATAAATATGTCCCTTGTTCGTTATTTTGCGGTTCCCAAACTTTTCCAATGGGGTCTGTGCCTATTTGCAGCGCGTTACTTTATTTGGTTGTGTTGTGAGCATTTGCAGTGCATGTTGTCAAATTGATGAAGATGTTTTCTTAATTTGCAGTTTGTTTGTTTTTTTTTGTTTTTTGCAGGGCGTTGAGCTCTCTCGGCCACCGTAAATAGTACATTTTTTATCACATGAATGTGTAAGCAACTTCATGAAATACAGAATCGCAACTAAGTAAAAATAAGTTTTCTTATGAGATTGGGTTGCTTGCTCTATGGTTATAGTTATATTTGTTGGTGTGCACCAACATATGCATTTACAAATGTGTATTTTAAATTCTTTTGCTTATGGCACCTACAATGCAGTGGATTCTTGGAGAATTTCTCTGGAGAGGCCGGTGCCATATGAATTGATATCAATGGCAAGCACTAAACTTACAACCAGCAGAGGTAAACCTGCAAACAACAGTTCAAGAATTAACAAACACAAAACGTTTCCTTGATTTTCTTAGTTGTTATGCACAAATACTCTAGACACATTTAATTAAACTGAAACTGCTCAGTATAACATTTGAAGAGAAAAAACATAAAACTGCTTGTCTCACCCCATCCAAGTGCACAGAATTTGAGGATGTAAGATGGCACATATGAATTAAAGACCTTGACCAAGGCCAGGTACATGTTGATTGCACCCAGTCCCATCCAAGTAAAGGTAGCTAGGAAAAAGTAATGTTGAAAGGCTGCTACAGTAATACAGATGGCATTGCTGTTAAAAGAGGCAAGCCAGGAGTTCACAAGGAAGAGCATGTTCAACCCTAGCAAGGCTACGGAGAGGTTAATAAGGATCTTTGAAGGGTAGTCTCGCCTCAGTTTCCTGTGGTAAGAAAACACATGTAAAAAAGACAACATTTATTGACACTTCTGAAGATGCATCCTTTTGAGTTGCTCAAGGATGTCAACAAACCAAATGAGTCTCTAAGTCTGCATTGTTATTCTGGTTTAAGCGGTAGCTTGCAAAGTGTCTATGAACTCACTCAAAGGCCGAATAGGTCAACAGTGTGACTCCAAGAAAGATGGAGGATATGCCACTGCCCAGGTACGAGATGATAGTAAGAATCCTTTCGTCTTTCGCACTTATTGGGGTTTTAGAGATATCCTGGAAGACAGATGGGTTCAGGAAACATGCATAGTGGTTTCAATAATCAAAATCGAGCATATTTTATGCAAATGCTGTGCACATTGACATCATTTGTCATCCATAAATGAACAACCTATGACCTTTAGTTTCCACATGTTTTCATAAAAGCTTTATTGTTAATTAATATTTCCTTTGGTAAATATAAAGTCAGTTATAATTCATTGACCTTGCACTATTGCCAGGGCAAATGTAGTTTCACACAACCATGAAAATGAGGTCAAACTTTATGTACATTATAATTTTTTTTAATTGGCTTTCTACATTTTGGACAGACAAACCGAACTCACCAGAAGAGCTCCAAAATGTGTGAGGTGATCACAGGAACAGGATGTATAAGTGGCATTAGACATCACTGTCTCACATCCTGTATCATTCCATCCACCTTTATCATCTACAAGACATTCAGTCAACAACTATCATGGGGATATTAACCAAAATGAAGTGCACTTTTACTGTAGACAGGCCTAAATTTTGAATTTGAAAATATGTATCAAAAAACTTACTGTTTTTGTTGAAGTCCCAGTAGACACACTTAACAGTGTCCCAATCCTATAGAGAAAAAAAAAAGTTTGGTGAAATATTATTTTATTGATCAGACTGTAAATCTGTGGTCATGTCAGGGGTTATCATAGTCGATGAATTACAGCTGCCTCGTTTTCATGAGAAGCTATTCTTAGAAGATATTTGTTGACAAAAGATAGCATACATGTGGTAGCTTACATTATTATGGTAACTGTTTACTATAGATTGTTTCAACAGGACAATAATGATGCTGAAATGATTTGTGGTTTGTTTTGGTGTTGGCTGATTGTATCCATACAGACCTCTTTGTTTTGGAGATGGCGGAAAGTGACCATCACGGGGATCTCAAGGTTGCTTACTGTGGCATTGGTGACACTGGCAGATACTACATAAGAGTTCAGCTTCATGTTGGCTGTGGGGTCCTAGATGTTAAAAGTCTGCCATCAGAAGCAGGTACTGGAAATGCTGCATATAAATAGTTAAAAACTGCTAATTCTATAGTTCTATGGTTCAGGGATCCTCAAATCTGGCCCATGAGATTCACTTTCCTGCAGAGTTTAGCTGTAACCCAAATCAAACACACCTGAGCAAGCTAATCAATGTCTTCAGGATCATTAGAAAATCAGAGGTAGGTGAGTTAGATCAGGGCTGGAGCTAAACTCTGAGTCTGCAGGGCATTGGCCCTCCAGGGCAAGATTTGAGGAACACTGACGTAAACTGATTTGAGGTGGTTTATTCTTCAGAAAGTGAGAAAAATACACAAGGAAAATGTGATCACCAATTCAATGTATGTTACCTCAAAGAAATTTTCTGTGCCATAAAAATGAAACTGTACACGAGGTCTGGCTCCATTGTTCGGGAAAAAGCTCTCAATTGCATGAGGTAAAGAAATGAATGCTATAGTTCCTGTGTCTGGATGCACTGTAAAGTTCTTGTCATAAAATATCTACAAAAAAGGGGAGAAAACATTACAGCATACTTTAAAAACCATTTACCATACATCTTCTCATTTTTCTCTGTATTGATTGTTCCAGGCTGTTATGCCGATATGCACTATGACTATATGTGACTATGAATGAGTCACTGAATCATTCACTTAACCAATTTGTTCAAAATACTGTTTCATTCAGTAGCACTGCTACAGTTGCAACAGTTGAATCTGCTTTGGCTTCATATTTTCTTTATTTGAACAAAAATGAACATGAATGAACAAACTAAGCAGAAACTTTCCTTCAGTGTGGTAAAAAATACATCTGCTTGATCTTCATATGCATTATGAGTATATGTGATATAAATATAAATGGAACTTTCTGCACCAAAACCACCATTGACCAAAACAAACAAACATCCTCATCTGCCGATGATCTAAAAAACAGACAGTCCCGTCCCCAATTCACACCACTGAGATGCACTGTTAACTGATTAACACAGTGAAAATTAACCTATGAATGGCTTATGTCTTTAAAATGGAATAGAAAGATATTTTAACACACTGAAGAAAATTACATACTCCAGCTTTAATTCATACAAAACTGCTGGCTCAACACGTTCACATCTTTCTTAATTCAAAGTCATCTGGTGGTCAGGGGAGTATCACACCTGACATGTAAATGGTGCTAAAATAACCACTTGTGTCCTGTGATCCACTAACACAACACACACAAGGACACAGAAACCTTGTGGTCACAATGGTGTGAAAACACATTCTCAAAGGTACTGTGATAATTTAATATCACACTTCTATTTTCGCTAAGAGTCTAAAGTTTCCATAATGATCTTGGTCTCATGCAGTGTTATATATACAGTCTCTCTTTGTCTCTCACCTCAGGGGTGCTATCATTCAGTAAGGAGGACACCTCGAATGTGAGACCATGGAACTGAGAGGTGTCAGGGTTGATCAGCTGAAGTGCTAATGAAGGTGCTGTCATGTTATGAGCATCTCCCTCGAACACCGTCCTGTCTCCCATAAGGTCTGTAATAGAAAGAATTCTACCACACACAAAGACAGAAAGCCACAATGGAGTGAATACAGCAGGAAAATTAGATTTCAGAGATAAATTTATAGACATACTGAATATGCTTTTTTTTAGGCTCAACCTGCAAATGAAAAAGCTTTGGGTTTCAAGAAATAGTTGACCCCAAAAAATGAAAATTAGCTGAAAATTGACTCCTCCTCAGGCCATCCAAGATGTAGATAAGTTTGTTCATTCATCAGAACAGATTTGATTAAATTTAGCAATGCATCACTTGCTCACCACTGGATTCTGGAACTGAGAGGTGTCAGGGTTGATCAGCTGAAGTGCTAATGAAGGTGCTGTCATGTTATGAGCATCTCCCTCGAACACCGTCCTGTCTCCCATAAGGTCTGTAATAGAAAGAATTCTACCACACACAAAGACAGAAAGCCACAATGGAGTGAATACAGCAGGAAAATTAGATATTCAGACATATTTCAGAGATAAATTTATAGACATACTGAATATGCTTTTTTTTAGGCTCAACCTGCAAATGAAAAAGCTTTGGGTTTCAAGAAATAGTTGACCCCAAAAAATGAAAATTAGCTGAAAATTGACTCCTCCGCAGGCCATCCAAGATGTAGATAAAGTCCGAATACACTTGCTCATGTCTGGATGATCCCACACTGCTTTGTCAGTTGCCCCGTTTAACATACTAAATGGAATGAGAAAATATGTGAGTCTCATTTAGCCATTTATTAAAGTGTTTGTTTACCAATTTTCAAACAGCTTTGAATTGTCACAATGTTGGTAGTATAAGTAAATTAACAATGTATATTTTTACCGGAACCAATACTCCATTTATTTATCAGCTAGAGTGTAAGATGTTTTCTTTGCATTGTTTGATTACTCAACAGAGAATATAGCTAAATATATTACACATACATAAAAAAAATCTGGCTAAACCTCTCTTTTCTTTATTCATAGTTTATCTAGACAAGTAGCCTATATAAAACTAGCCAAAGTTCTGTTAATCCTAGAGCAGTGAAAACTGCATTTCTATATTCATCCTTTTCATCATGTGTCCTCTTAAGGTGTAATTTTTTTTAATTTTTTCCTTGTTTTGTTTTTAGAACTGTACTGTCTTAATGGTTGGTTGGATGTTTGTACTGTTTAATGAAAAACAAAAATAGTGTCACGATACGTGCCCTGAAGTCCCGATCTGAATCAAATTATTCGCGAGCCCACTCCAAAGTCCCATTCTCAATCAAATGATTTGCGATATGCGCTCTGAAGTCCCGATCTAAATCAAATGATTCGCGATCCACGCTCCGAAGTTCCGATCTGAATCATAAGTGCTCCGAAATCCCGATTTAACTCAAATGATTCGTTCACCCAAAAATGAAAATTAGACTGTGTTTTACTCACCCTCGAGGCATCCTAGGTGTATATGACTTTCTTCTTTCAGACGAATCCAGTCGGAGTTATATTAAAATTGTCCTGGCTATTCCAAGCTCTATCATTGCAGTCAGCGGGTGTTGCAGTTGAACAGTTCACAAGTCGTCAAATAAAGCGCGCGTATTCATAATAAACGTGCCTCACACCGCTCTGGGGGGAGGGGGGTGAATAAAGGCCTCCTGTAGTGAATCCATGCGTTTTTGTAAGAGAAATATCCATATTTCAAACGTAATAAACACTTTTCTCTCGCTTCCGTTATCTGTCATACACGGAAGCTGTTCCGTCGGATGACGCAGCACGCGCACCTCTGAGATATGATAGTCTCGCGAGTTTGTTTACAGGAGCAAAGGAAGCAAAGTTTCCTTACTTTAGCAAAGGAAAACCAGTCTCCTCTTGGTTTATATCGAAATCCTCCGACATTTTTCTTTGAAAATCCTTGGTTTATACTTCTAATTCATGACTGGCGTTTTGTTTTGTTCTCTCTCCGCATTCGTCATTAATCACGCAATGCCGATGTGCTACATCATCCGCCGGAACGCCTTCCGCATATGACAGTCAGAGGAAGTGAGAGAAAAGTGTTTATTA